TGAGGGATTTTCTTTTGGAGGAGGAGGACATAACTTCGGGGGAGGAATTAATTGGGGACGGAATCGCAAGCCGGAGCACCTGGGAATTTCTTGGAAGCAGCACAGCGCTGTGCGAAGAGCGCATAGGAGGAGCAGAGCGCGAGCAGAAATTGAAGCCGACCAGTAGCAGCGCCGATTGGAGAGAAAATCAGAATCTGTGATTTATTTCGTATCAGTATTTTTTCTCCTTCTCGTTACTAGTAACATGATGATTATGGACATGATTAGATTGTAACACCCCGAATTTTGGGTTATGCTTCGACCATAATACATGATCGGTTGGATTAATAGTTGCAATCGCGGTTTAGTAGTAATAATAAAGTAATAATAATTATTATTATTATTATTACTTTATTATATATAAAAAATACATAAACCTGACCTGGAGGGCCGAGCGGCCTCCCCAATTAACTCCCAAACCTCGACCCTCTTATTCCTTTCCCCAAAACCCCTTCCCAGAGAGCAATGGAATAATTCCCCAGTCGCCTCAGTCCCCAAAACCGGACCCTCTCTTTTCTTCCCTAATCCCCACCGCCAGTTACCCAGAAACCCTCGGCTAAAAGAAACCCTCGACCCCCATTTTCCTTTCCCAGACCCGCCCCAATTTCCATTCCCAGCAAGCAGCGAGACTTTCCCCAGCGCCGCTAGCAGCCGCCATCCCAATCCCGATAACGATCCCATCCCTTTCGCGGTTCTAGGTAAGGATCACGAATCTCTTCGCGATCTCTAAACTCGATACATCGTTAGACTAATTCGAAGCTCGGTTTTTTATTAGCGGTGACATTGAGGGTTCGATCAACGAGGAGATCAACGTCTCGGGTCATCCAACCTAGGCCTAGGCACGGTCTAGAGGTAAGGGGATTCGATCCCTTTGAGTTAGGTCGTTTAATTTGGGGATTTTTCGTGAGGGTGCAATTATGAGGTTTTAGCAACAGACGTTCAGGCTTTTAGTGACAGAATTTGGGTGGTCACTAAAGGTTTCGAGATTTTATGGGGTTTTTTTCCTAAGTTTTAAAATTTTATAAATTGAGAAAGGTCCAGGAGATGGCTCTAAATTAATTTGGGGATTTTGGAAGATGTATTTTTAATTTTAGAAATTGTTCGAACATTCTTTTCAATTAAATAAAAATATTTTCGAGGAGGTTATAAGAGTTTGATAATTTTCCAGGGTATAAGTACTCATGATGGATGTAGGAAAATTATGATCCGGATTTTTAAGAAGGTTCAAGTTGGGTGTAAAATTCGTCCAAGACGAAAATAATTAGGAAAAATGGTCGGTTATGAAGGGATTGTTTTTAGAAATTTTAAAAGGGGGTTAAAAGACCTTGTGAGTGAGTCTCGAGGACTAGATGTTGAGGAGAGGATGTTCTAGTGACCCAAAAGGGATTTCTAAATCAAGAAAGGTCGACTAAGGAGATGACTTTCTTATTAATATGTTCACTGAGATAATTCGGCTAGGAGGGATTTCTTCGAGTAAGGAATCGAGGAGTCATCTTTACAAGGTGAGTGTAAATGGGGTAAATTCTACGCCTTACGAGTTCTTTCAAGAATTACAAGTCGTACGTTTCTTGATAAAGTGATTGTCGTTGTTTGATTGTGATTTTGTTTGACCTATGTTTGATGTGAATGGGCATGAGTTCTTAGTTAATTTAAAGCTTTTCGTTTATAAGTTGTTGTTAAAGTTAAGAAACAAGTTCTTTTTAAAGAGGTAACTCACCTTCAAGAAGGTGAAGTCGTTTTAAGTGTTTTTAGTCACTAGCGCCAGTCCATTGCCGTTTGAGACTTTTTGAGATAGAGCAGCAGTTATGCTCTTGAGACTTTTAAGATGGGCAGTAGTTAGGCCCTTGAGAATCATGGTGAAGAGTCACCACGATAAGTTTAAGATGTTAGGGGGATGAATCGTTACGACTTACCTAACTAAGTTTAAGTTTAAGGAAAGCCTGAATGGCTTCTCATACGTATGAGTTGGCAACCGGACTAGCTAGTGAGGGATCCCAGTGTCAGTCAAATTTTTTAAGTTGAGATTTGAGTTTTAAGAGTAAAATCTTAGAGGATGGAAGTATAATCTACCAATTTGAGTTATGTTCTTAAGTAAGAAATATCAGAGCTTTCAATCGTAAGGGCGTAGACTGACCCCAACTCACTCACCAGATCGTAGAGGAGGAAATCCTAACCAGCCAGTCCGTGAGCAGCAAGCTAGAGGAGCTCAATACCACCGTCGCTGAGAGATGTCGAGCCAGGCGTCAGAGTAAGCATCAGAGAACTTTTTCATGTTATTAAAACTTTATGGTTAAGAGTTAAGGATTCGAGATTCATTTCTTATGGAAAATTTGAGTTTTTCCCACGTGTTGGCTTCGGATTGAGATATTGAGATATTTGAGTTTGGTATTTTATTTAAACTTGTGTGATTTGAGATTTTTAATTATACCCTGGGGTAGAAATGTCTTTTTCCAAATTCAAAGAGGTGGGATGTTTCATAGATCTTTTGATTTCGACATGAACTAAACCCCAATTTCTGGGGGAAACAACATAGGATGTAGCTTTTTCTTGATTTGATGGATTGATTCATATTTCCCATCTTCCAATCTCTATTGCTTAAAATTAATTAATGCTTTGTGTTGACAGGCCACCAATACATCGATTTGTAGTTAATTAGGTTATTAGTGACAGTGAAACCCTAATAATTGAACCTATTTAATGTGACATAGTAACTTATCGAAGCGACCGTGGATTAAATAAGGTGCTAAGCGGTCTTAAATAGGATATCGATCTTCAGGATAAATAATTAAATCATTGAGCTACGACAGTAGGATTTGATTTAATTGTTTAGTACGTAGTAATTCTCGACAGGGAAAGCTAGCACAGTAGTGATATCCTGGCTGTAGAGATATGGATTAAACTGATTGGAATATGTGAACTAATTTGGATATGATAGGTAGTAAATTCCGGTGTTTCTCCCAGAGCTTTCTCCCATCGATTTAAACAAGACAACTTGAATTTGGTTGTTTTGTTTAATTATTTTGCTTTTAGATAGTAGTTTCATCATTCAAACAATTTCCACCTATAGTTTGCTCTATAGAATTAATAGAATATAAGGTTGTACCAGTCCCTGAGAGGCGATACCCGGACTTCCCGGTTTTACTACGAGATAGGATTCAGGCATCACGCTTTTTCCCCATCACCTTTTTTGAAGAATTTGAAATGTGCAGAAGCAGGTTTCATTCGACCTCTTTCGCGGTCCTGATTCGGGCCCAAATGCACATATTTTACCCCTCATTTCTTATTCGTTTAGCTTAGTATATCATCATTCCTCGACATGTTTCATGCTAGGTTGTGCTTGTTTTTATACATTTTAGGTCCTAGCACATGTGGAAGGGTCAAGGTCCAATTTTGGGATAATTGGAGATAAAAAAGCACAAAAACCAAAGTAAAGTCTGAACCCGTAACAGTGATGTGCAGGCGTCCAGGAAGCAGCCGCAGTACACGGTCGAACAAGGGAGTTCACTGAAACACCCCGACCTTTTTCAAAAACAAACCATAACTCAAACCAAAAACTGGTTACTCCGGAGCAACCCAAACAACATTTTAAAATAAACAAACTGACATTATTTAAGAATTTTAAACAAAAAGCTTAACACTTGGGAAAAATCTCAATCTCAAACACTTAAAACAACTTAACACAGAATCTCCACCTTATACTCCAAACCATGCAACAAAGTAATTAAGCTATTCTAACTCTAACACCTCACGAGCTCCTTGACTTCTCATCAAAGCGGGTACGGCTGCTCGCCTCGTCTAGCTCCTTCTCGGGATCCACCTCGACTAACTCTTCCTCAACCTGGTGAGTGAGAAGGGGTTAGTCTCGTTGTTACTTCCTAAGATCTTGCTCTAAGCAAACACTTACTAACACATTATTAGAAATTTCTTCCTCTGACAAAAAAGTCGTTCTCGCTTTCATCCTTAATACTTTTAATCCTTGATATCTCATAGAAGTTCTATACTTCTTTCTTAACTTATATACTTATTACTAGGGAATCACCGCGTTACATATCGTCGTCCGGTGTCCCTATCCTCAAGGCAATGGTACTGCGTTATGTATCGCCGTACAGTCCACGCCCGGTCAACAACTGCGTTACATATCGCCGTCCAGTAGTGACCCGACCATCTACCGTGTCCACTAGTGGCCCAACCGCCCGGGGGTTCAATTACCATCATCCATACATCACAAACACATACATACATACATACATACATACATAGCACAACGCGTGCCTCCACCTTAAGTAGGTGGTGGGATGCCTCACACACATAATCGCGCTTACTCATAAAATTAACTAAATAATAACCTGAAATGAAAAGCGTAAATTAAAAAACCCTCGACAGAGAATTTACCCCCTTTACACTACCTTATTCTGCAAAGTGATCGATTTCGGTGCCTTCTAGACCTCTTTGATTTAGTTGCCGACATAGTCGTGGTGTTCCATTTGGCCACCCCAAAGTTCCTAGTAAAAATCGTTCATATAACACATTCCTTAGTTAGGGAACATGATAATCCACCCAATTGGCCTTGACTAAAACACCTATAGTAATCACCAAATCCAATTGATCAACACCTCCACTTTCACGTATAGGTTTTCCATCAATCCCTCTAGTCATAATACTTTATCCCACTCCCCGATTCCTTCGAATATATTTACCCAAAATTGGCCATTAACCCTGTAAGCTACTCCCTGCCCATGCAAACCATATATCAACAATTCCCTTTGGTTCATCGTTGTAGGAGGCAAACTTCAATTACCCTGTCATTTCACGGAACCCACCACTCTAGGACAAGACACTAAGTAATTCATCTCCCTGCCTTTCCAAGGCCACCCTCCAAGAATTAATCAAGCGATCAGTTACAAAAATTAATATTCATAGCGAGAGACTCACCCAGTTGCGTCCAAGATTTCCATTCCTTGATGCTGCACGGCTACCATTCCTTTCCGAGCAGCGGACACCTCTACTGGGGACCACATCAACAAACCACCGTTACGAGCACATCAGCCCCACCTAGAGGATTTCAAAACCGGTACCGCCACCAACTGATGCTCCTCACATCGTCACCTCGATTGGACCCGCCTCACAGCAAGTCCCCTTCATCGATTACCCGACGATCTCCCTTTGTCTACTTCTACAGCTTTGGTCTTTCTCTTCGCCGCGGTGATGAAGAAGATGTAATGGCAATTGCGATGCTGTGTGGGTCCAATTGCGGCTGGTGTGTTCCCTCTGCTTATGTCGCGTCGCTACCTCCAGTGACGAGAAAGAGAGCTAGGAAGAAGCATGCTTGGGCGGTGGCTGTTGTTGTGCGGACTGCTTCGCTTAGTTTACGTTGAGGGAATTAGAAGGGGTAGTGGGCAGCGTGTACGTTGATGGGTTACAGGGTTAATGGAAATCCGTTGAGTTGAGAAACGTAACGGGTTTCAGGATTAATCCCTTTTTATTTCTTTATTTATTTAATTAAAATCAATTAATCCTTAATTAGGATTTATCAATTGAAATTAATTAAAATTACAATTCCCAATCCAATTCGATTCGGTTACCGGTTGAACCTCACCCAAAAATTCGGGAGTTACATTTCCTCCCCCCTTATAAAAATTTCGTCCTCGAAATTTAAACTGTGCTAGACACCTTGCATTTGATAGTGCTTGCCTCGACTGAGATATCACATTTCCCCCCTCCTTAAGAAAAATTCTGACCTCAAAATTTGTTCATCGCGACAACCTAATGTTTTACTCGAGGAAATCCTTCTACTACTAGGATGTATACTTCCTTTACCTAGTACGACCTTGAGCTATGAACCCTTTCCTCTAATTCGTGTGGTTCTTGGCCAACTAAATACTCACCCATTTTTCATAAATCTCTTGCTCAAGCAAGTTACTTGCTCAATGCGTCTATAGCACTATGGCACTCTCCCATCTTAAATTCCTCTGATGCTGTAATGGCTTCGTAGCTCATATTGTTCTCAACTATTTGTCTGGGGTCTCTACTTAGGATTCCTTAAGAACTTAAAGGAAATAAATTATTAGCTAGCCCTATTCATGTCATGACTCGTCATAACTTCAGCTCATAACAGGCCCATACCTTGAACTTCGTCCTCCCTATCTTGACTGCTGACGAGTCTCCTTGGTATAGAATGTTTGACCTTCTTAATGTTTAACTCTGATGCTGGTTCCTAGGTGTCGCTTCTTCTCCCTTTATAGGCCTCGTTATTCTCCTCTTTGATAATTCCACTTGATACGCACTCTTGATGCCTGATTTACCATATATGTTGCCTTTCGCACGAGAAAATCCCTTACATATCCCTATTGATGTTCTTAATACCCATTTCAACCCTAAGGTTACTAATAGCGGCTTAACCTCCATCTTGTTATATCGTAAAACTCTTTTAACGTAAGCTCATTTGTGGTTGACCACGTAGATCACCTAGGTCCTTGTACCTTCTAACTTTGAATCTCTTACTTTCTTCCAAGATTCTTCGTCTCCTCCTTTTAGCCATCAACTGAATGGTCATCTCCTTGTTACTTATTGCTTAACCCTGAAACCTCACACTACTACTCTTACTTGACGTATGCCTTAAAGGCATCCTTTGCATCTTTCTCTAGCTTGCTAACAACTTTATGACTCCCTTCAAGAGTCATGACCTTCCCTTTGTCTTACTTGTCCACTCCTGGTGCCTAACCTAGCACTTCCTTATCGCAGCCTAAATTTGAAACTCTCGTACTATTCCTTCTGGTACTCTTAGACCCTAGCTGAAATACCTCGTATAGTTTCCCCGTCCAATAGAGTCTTACCCGAGAGATTGGCACATTTCACCAGCATAGGCGATCTTGGTTTCACTTTGGGGTATTCTAGTAGGTTCCCTAAACTTATATCCCTCTTACTTCGTTACTCGTGACTCTTCTTCTTGATGTTCCTTTCTAGGTCTAAGTGCCCTTGTTTGCGACATAGTCCTCCAGGTTCCTATATCCTCTTCTCACTTATGTACTTTGGCTTATAAGGTTTTCCCTTCCACTATTCTTGACGACCTTTATCCCACCTTAAAAATGGTTCTTGATGGACTTCCTATTGATCACTTGTTCTCCGTTGGTAGTCAACCTAATGCTTCCTGGTAGTCTTTGGTATTCATGTTTTGACATTTCCTAACAATTTTCTTCCACGCACACTCATTGAACTCGAGTCACTTACACATATTCCCACTCCTTTATCAAGAACTTTCGATGGCCATCCTTGACTTCATGCACTCTACGATATCTATAATGTCACTTCACAGTTATGGGCTTACGACTTCCCAAAGTCTAGTACTACTTCTAGATTGCTTACCAATCATTAAGCAATTTTAACGATAAATTCGCACAAAGAAACTTGCAAATCCCACCTGAGACTTGACCAATTGACTTCTTGAAATCTCGTCAAACTTCCTCTAGCCTTCTTGCTCGTTCCTAGTATTGTACGCAAACTCTCTTTATTACGATCGTTGGGATTCTTCCTTGAATTCTCTAGCATATATTAGAACTTCCAATGAAAGTTATACTTTCCTGTCTATACTCGGTTGGTCGAATGACTTACTCCTATAGCTAGTTCTGAGACTCCAGCTCTTAGCCCCCTAGTTCCAACTTATTACATAAGTTCCTCCTTCTATCACCCCTCATTTACTAGGTGGCTAGGTGCTCCCTCCTTTTAGGATAGGCCAATGAAACAAACGATCATCACAAACTCTTGACCTTTCGTGACCTTTCGTGATTTGGGTAGTTTTTAGGGCCTCTCATATCCCATTCCATCCTCTTTCTAGCTCGGCGTTGTTCACTAGCACATTGTTATTCTTGATCCAAACTCGTCCTCTACCTTGATTATCTTGACACTTGTCTTTTTCCTTTTAACGATTTGCTATTAGCCTTATTCCCTAGGGTCATGTACCCTCTTCTCATGTGACGTAGTTATCTATAAGGGTTCCTTTGTCATCATATGTAAATGACCATGCCTCCTCTCCGCCTTGACCTATTTACTTCTTGACGTCCTTTCGTACTCCCTGCAACCTACTTATTCCCTCATTTGCTTCATTTATACTACCCTAGCTTCTCTTGAAGTATAAGCTTTCCACTGCTCCTTGTCACTGTGTTGTAATAGTGTTGACCACTAAAAATAGTTGAGGGAATTCTCCTAGTGCTCCTTTAACTCCTTTGATTCCTCGTACCTATACCTCGGGATAGAACTTTGCTATTGGCGCACCCTTTTTTAGGACTAAAGTTATTTATCTTAATTCGATTAGAGTAGACTGGAGATTCTATAGACACTTAAAAGGAGACCCTTGACTCATTTTCCCTTCCTTTAAAACAAAACTTTTAAAAACTTAGACCGACATTCCAGTATTCCTTGGAAACCAAGGAACAGAGGAAGACCGGCTCTGATACCAAAATGAAACACCCCGACCTTTTTCAAAAAAAAAAAAAAAACCATAACTCAAACCGAAAACTGGTTACTCCGAGCAACCCAAACCACATTTTAAAATAAACAAACTGACATTATTTAAGAATTTTAAACAAAAAGCCCTAACACTTGGGTAAAATCTCAATCTCAAACACTTAAAACAACTTAACACTGAATCTCCACCTTATACTCCAAACCATGCAACAAAGTAATTAAGTTATTCTAACTCTAAATCCTCACGAGCTCCTTGGCTTCTTATCAAAGCTGGTACGGCAGCTCGCCTCGTCTTGCTCCTTCTCGGGATCCACCTCGGCTAACGCTTCCTCAACCTGGTGAGTGAGAAGGGGTCAGTCTCGTCGTTTCTTCCTAAGGTCTTACTCTAAGTAAACCCTTACTAACACATTATTAGAAATTTCTTCCTCTTACAAGAAGTCGTTCTCGCTTTCATCCTTAATACTTTTAATCCTTGATATCTCATAGAAGTTCTCTAATTCTATCTTAACTTATATACTTATTACTAAGGAATCACCACGTTACGTATCGCCGTCCGGTGTCCTTATCGGCAAGGCAATGGTACTGCGTTACGTGCCGTTGTCCAATCCACGCCCGGTCAACTACTGCGTTACGTATCGCCGTCCAGTAAAGACCCGACCATCTACCGCGCCCTGTAGTGGCCCAACCGCCCGGGGGTTCAATTACCATCATCCATACATCACAAGCACATACATACATAGCACAACGCGTTCCTCCACCTTAAGTAGGCGGTGGGATGCCTCACACACATAATCGCGCTTTCTCATCAAATTAACTAAATAGTGACCTGAAATTAAAAGCGTAAACTAAAAAGACCTCGAAAAAGATTTTACCCCCTTTACAATCACCTTATTCTGCAAAGTGACTAATTTCGGTTCCTTCTGGACCTCTGTGATTTAGTTGTCGGCATAGTCGTGGTCTTCCCATTTGGCCACCCCAAAGTTCCTAGTAGAAATCGTTCATATAACACATTCCTAATTTAGGGAACATGATAATCCCTTTTTATTTCTTTATTTATTTAATTAAAATCAATTAATCCTTAATTAGGATTTATCAATTGAAATTAATTAAAATTAAAATTCCCAATCCAAACCGATTCGGTTACCGGTTGAACCTAATCAAAAAATTCGGGATGTTACATTCACGGTCTTCTAAGACCGTGAACTGGAGCCACAGACCGTGAACATCGAGCAGTCCAGCGAGGTTCAGAGCTTACTGACGTCAAGGTAGTTCATGGTCGCTAAGACCGTGAACAGGGGCTAATGACCATGAATAACAGAAGCGAAGTGCGTTTTGGAGACGACACTGAGTTCACAGACGCGTTTAGGTGTTCACGGCCGTGAACAAGCCAACGAGTTTGTGAACTGGTCACTTTTGGGCAAATATGAAGACAACAGCGGGGAGAGAGAAGGGGGATCTGGTTTTTGGAGAGAAATTCGATTCCCTCTCTAGGGTTTGCCCAAAAACACCAAAGGAGGGTTCTAGTGAGAGAGAGAGAGAGAGAGAATGCTAGAGTGATCTTGGAGCATCATTGGAGGCTTGGGTGGATCTTGAAGACAAGGATTCAAGTCTAGAAGAAGAAGAACTTGAGCTCAAATTTGTATTCCCTTCTTCTCTCTCTAGAAACTCACTCTTTTCTCTTGGGGATTAGAGAACCCTAACTAATATATTTTCATTACTTGTTTAGATTGAATGATTTTGTATGGGTTTACATCAATTTGAGTATTAGATGTGTTTTCATGGTGATCGTGCTTAGTTGTGCTTTCCAAATCTTGTGTGCTTGCCTAACCTAGATTAGAGGAAAACCACACCTTTTTAGGTAGGCTTGACAAGCTTGGTTTTCCTGCGCACTTTGTGCCACCTATCTAGGTTAGAG